TGTACATGCGATTTTTCAGGTTTTTTATTTTTATTTTTATTTTTTTATTTAACTTGCAACAATTTCAAAAATCATTTTTCACATTGTCATTATAGGGTATTCTGTGTAGAATCTTGAGAAAATAAATTAATTTAATCCATTTTGGAATAAGGCTGTAACAAAGAAATGTGGAAAAAGTGAAGCGCTATGAATACTTTCCACATGCACTATACATTAAATGAATTGGTTGTGGATAAATTTGGAGAAAAATGTTCTCTGGAAAGTATTATTTCTGCCATCTTGCTGACAACATCTCGTTGTGACATCTTGCATGGTTCACTGGGATTTTGACGACTTTAAATTACGCCTCCATTACAAGTTACGCCCCCTTCAAGTTACCCTCTCTTGCTGACAGATACTGTTGTACACTTGTGGCATTAGAACTGCAGCTACATCGTTGTGTAATACTTGATTACATTGTCACGCTTAATAGACGACAGAATTGATGAAATTCAATCCTTGTTACCTGATGAAAATGTTATGTTGTTTTTGATTTCCAGACACTTGCTGTATTACAGTTCTGACAACAGGTGTCATTGTGTAATATGTGATTATAATGTCACACTTATCAGACAACGAATTTCACGTTACAGTTTGATTCCAGCGGTTATAAATTACACAGCTATTTTAATGTATAAAATTATACATTATAAAAATGTTTGTAAACTCTTTCTTGATCTGCTGCTGATCACAGAGAGTTGGAACAGATCTTTTAAGCCCAAATTCTTTGCAAATCCTGTTCTGTGGACATGTTTATATGCATTACTAGTACAGAGACGTCAGGAAATTTTTAACGTCAGGAAATTTAAATCACTCCAACATGACAGCAGAGACACTATACCTACACAGTTCTGTCCAGACAGCTTCCAGTAGTTGATTTTGCATCATCTGTGCCTTTTAAAGTCTCACACTTATCAGACGATGCAATTGATGATGTTTAAACCTTGTTACGTGGTGAAATTATTATGTTGTTTTTGATTTCCAGATTGTGAAAAAAGTGCAAGCGAACTGGTGGAGGAGCAAAACATTCTGGTTGAGATCATGAAGGTGGTGGAGAAACGAGATAAACTAGTGAGTCTCCTGGAGGAGCAGCGACTGAAAGAAAAAGCTGAAGACAGAGATTTGGAGAGTTTGATCCTTTCCAGAGGGTATCAGTTCCACTGGACTTAAACATCTTGCTCTGAATGGCAATATGAGCCACTGTAGACTGAAAAAAAGCCTTATTTGAGCTTAAAACGATTGTATTTTGCTTGCATTGAATGCTGCCATTTGTTGTGCTTGAAAACAAATAAACCAAAAACCAAAACACGTGCCTCTTTATTAATGATGAATGTTCGCATTAAAAAGTCACACGAGCACGGAGGTGATAGGATTGATTAGGACTTTTTGTTCGCACTTGGTGCAATGACGTTAAGTTTTGTTTAATTGTTTAGTTGAAATTTGTTCATGGATGTTTGTTTTGAATGTTTCCGTAGAGGCCAAAGTTTGATGGCGGTGATGAAGTGTGTTTGTTGAGCGTTTATTTCTCTCGTCCTTGTCAAAAAGATGATTTATTAAGCAACCTTAAATTAAAAGCAATTATTATTGTTTCAAGAATCAAGAAGTGCTTATGGAAATGTACAAAGTGCTTTGGTTTTATTTTTGTCTGTCTGGGTGTTGCCTTGTGTAATTTATTTAATAAATGTAAACACAATGAGTGGGCTCTTAATTATGTAAAGATTTACATATTTTTTTAAAACATTCAGCCCTTTTAAAATGGTATTTTATTCATTTACATATAAAAATAATATTTGTGTTAGTAGTGTTTCTTTATACTATCTAGAATACAAAGTTGAAGTCAGAATTACTAGCCACTCCTTTGAATTTTTTTTCTTTTTCTTTTTTTTGTATTTCCCAAATGATGTTTAACAGAGCAAGGACATTTTCACAGTATGTCCGATTATATTTTTTCTTCTGGAGAAAGTCTTATTTGATTTATTTCATCTAGAATAAAAGCAGTTTTTAATAGAAAAAATACATTTTAAGGTCAAAATTATTAGCCCCTTTGAGCTATATCTGTTTTGATAGTCTACAGATCAAACCATCGTTATACAATAACTTACCTAATTACCTTATCCTGCTAGTTAACCTAATTAACCTAGCTGAGCCTTTAAATGTCACTTCAAGCTGTATAGAAGTGTCTTGAAAAATATCTAGTAAAATATTATTTTCTGTCATCATGGCAAAGATAAAAATTAATCTGTTATTAGAAATGAGTTACTAAAACTATTATGATTAGAGAAGTGTTGAAAAAAAATCTTTCCGTTACACAGAAATTGGGGAAAAAAGTAAACAGGGGGGCTAATAATTCTGACATCAAGTGTATATATGAAAAATATTTACTTTCTGTTTACCTAAGTAAATTAAATGTAAACAATTTAAGAGTTGTAAATATTAATTAAACCTGCCATTTTATTTAAAATAAATAGATTTTCAGTTTATTTTTAAATGCTTATTTTATATATACAGGGTTCATACACATTTTTACTACAAAAATTCCAGGGGCCTCATGTACGAAGACTTGCGTGGAAATCTTACTAAAACATTGCGTACGCACAAAGCTGTAAATGTGCGTACGCAGAAAAAATTTCAGATGTATGAAACACTGCGTACGCCGAATCTCACGCATATTCTTTTGTACATCTGAATGAACGTGAAACTGAGCGCAACATGCACGAGCACAAAACCCCTCCCTGCCTCCTCCCCCGTATGAATATGCTAATGACTATGCTAATGGCAAAACCCAACGAAAAAGCAACGGCAAAATCAAGCAAAAAGAGAAACTTTGAACAGAATGTGAAATGGAGGTGCTGCTTTCGGAGGTAGACCGGAGAAAAGCGGTGTTATTTGCAAGTTTGTTCTCCGGAATTAACAACAAAAGAAAAAAATAGAGTGGGAGAGTTTAGCTGATACGGTTAACACAGTTGGGTCTGAACATCGCACTGAGTGCATTAAAAAAAAGAAATAGTGTGGTTTATATCTGTAAAATGTTGCAGTACCCTGTGCAGTCTCAGTGGTGCATCACATAAGAAACATGTGATCATGTATTGACACGTTCGAGCACAAACTCGGCTCGAATCCAGCGTCTGATGAACTCTTTCTTTTTTTCCCCCCGCTACATATCAGATTTTGCCCACTATTTATCACGAGAAAGACAAGTAGGAATCATCAATAAGTTTGTGCATCGTATTTTATTTGCACATTTATTGAATGGAAATGTTTCTGATTCACGCATGCAAATTCATCTTCAGATAGTGTCTTTATAGCAATGTGCGTGCAGTAGATTGCTCAGATTACATTGGGAAAACAGGCGACCGCTGCAAATTGTGCTTTAATGTTTAGCCGGTCAACTGTATGGTATGGAAATCTTACATACCTACTAGATGAACCCGTCTTATACAGCTGCCATTGCAAGGATCAGACACTTTGTAAAGAGGAATTTAACACAACTGCCTCTAGGAGTCGCCAATGGAAATAAAACAGACACGCACAAAAAATGTGCGTACGCCTGCCAGAAAGCTGCCGTGAACCTGCGCACATTCCCACGTTCAGTTCATTGTTAGTAAATCCAAACGTGAGCGATTCTGAGCGTGAAACCTGGCGTACGCAAAGTTTTTGTGCGTACGCAGCGTTGATACATGAGGCCCCAGGACTTTCAAGTCAATTTTCATGACCTAATGTTATATGGAATAAAATCACTGTCATAAATATTTTGTGATTTTATTCCATAATGTTTCATGTAATGTCTACATATACGTAGTAAATCATAAACAAAATTCAAATTCATTACAGCATATCATAAAACACGCAACAATCTCTTTAGTTTTAATTTATTTTTATATCTGTGTAAAATAGATGATGCTTAAACAGCACTAATAATGAGAGCATGTTTTTAGCTAAGAAAAAAAGTAAAAACAACTAACCTCCATTCCAATATACAGATATTTGTCAAACTAATTTTAGATGTTCTTTATTGTTTGTTAAACTAACACACTAGACTTTTCGTTTCATAGACTTCCATTCATAGGCATGCAAATGCGACAGCCCATGCGACAAGTTTCGCATTTCACTGCATTCGAAAGTTCAAGCTTGGTGAATTCTTATCTGCAAAATCACATCAGGTGATTGCGTGTGACCAACAGAAGATATTTAAAATAAGAAATTTTAAATATGGAGCAATCGCTCACTTTTATTAATGTCTAATTATATTACTTAACTCCACCCTTTTTCACAGCGCCGTAAGACAGAATTTTGCAAGCTCTAGTGTGACGGCAGCTTAAGTCACTTTGGACAAAAATGTCTGCTAAATGATTAAATATAATTTCCATAACTTTTCCAAAACTTAGGTTTTTCTGTTTTTCTAAAACTTTTCCAGGCCTGAAATGCCATGTCAAAATACCATGACTTTTCCAGGTTTTTCCATGACCATATAAACCCTGTATGAAATTTGAAGTTTGCAAATATTACATTTCTGTAAATTTTTATATACCACTACTTTGTTTTAAAGTAATATTTATGTATGTGCGTGCTTTTATATAATTTGAAAGCATATTCTATTACTTTAAAAAAAAAAAAATTACAAATCGAGGAATATTCCATTCTAAATATTTCATTAATACAATATTTAATAAACTTCATATTTAAAAATATACAAATATAGAAAAATCTGTTATTTCCAATTTTTCAAATGAACATTTGCAAAGCAATTCATACTAATGCATATATCACATCACTTTTAAATGCTTTTTGATATAAAATATTTATTATTTATTTGTACTTTTTCACTGTATGTTTGCCACATATAGTTCATATTAGTAGTCATAAAGAAGGATTCACTGTATGATTGGCAGTTCACTTTAAACAACTTTGCGAACAACAGCGCGGAGTCTCTTTGGAAAAGAGGGAGGGATCAAAGGATAGCTAGAAGGCTGGGCAAATTGCTGGAATTCCGTTTCCGTTCCAGTTCCTGGGATTTTACTCTCTCTTCCTCAGCGGGGGGAAATATCCTATTATTTCTACTTTTCTGCCCTTGGTTTTGCTTGTTTAAACCGATGGCGTCTTCCCCGCAGAAATCACCGTCCTCTCCCAAATCTCCGACTCCAAAGTCTCCGTCCTCCCGAAAGAAAGATGATTCATTTCTGGGAAAACTTGGTGGAACTCTTGTCAGGAGAAAAAAGGCGAAAGAAGGTAGTGATTGAGTTTCAAATGCCTATTTTGCTGGGAAGTATGTTTAACACGCTTTACAAACACGTTAAATCATAACGTTTTTTTGAAGAAGTCTTCAAGTCACCACACAACTTTTTCAGAAGTCTGAATGATTCCCTCCTCCATCGGGACTGGCGCAGGAATGCGTTTGTTTACACTGTCAACATATTTGTTTCTAATATAACGTACACTTAAACTTAATGTAATCGACAAAGGTGTGTTTCTAAAGAGTAACAACGTAATGTTTACACTGCAAAATTTGTAGCGCCTTGTAGCGATGCTTTACTCACGGATGAGTCGATCATTTGAGTCGGAACTTTTTTTATTAGCGGAAGGATCGATTCTTTTGGTCTTCGTTCTCTTCTCTGTCTCCATTTAATCGAACCTACAATTACCTGATGATTTGACTGCAACGCTCTGATTAGTTTATATATATGAAGTTTACAGTTTGCAAATATTAAATTTCTGTAAATTTTGATATACCAATACTTTGTTTTAAAGTAATATTTATGTATGTATTCGTATATAGTTTGAAAGAATATTCTCCATAAATCTCCACACAACTTTTTCAGAAGTCTAAATAATTCCCTCCTTCTTCGGGACTGGTGCAGGAATGCGTTTGTTTACACTGTCAACATATTTAACATCAAAATGTTAAACATAAAAACATCAAAATAATCGACAAAGGTAACACCAAGAGTAATTAAAGGATAAGCAACATAATTTTACGCTCCAAAGGTTGTGGCGCCTTGTAGCGATGCTTTACTCACGAATAAGTCGATCATTTGAGTTGGAACTTTTTTTATTAGCGGCAGGTACGATTTATTTACAAACCAAAATCTGCGTTCGTTTGTTCGTTTCTTCCTTCTTTGCTTCCTTTTTTAATTCGTTCCTTCGTTCCCTCCAGGTTTGATCATTTTCTCCAAATTTGAGTCGTTTTTTTAACTATAACTTAAAAACGTTTAAAAACCGTCCTACAATGTTTAATTGGTTGTATACACATCTGTTAAAGCAACCAACTCGCATTATTTCAATATAAAAAAAGGTAAACATTGCAATTGCTTGTGGAAAAACTACATTACCCAGGGTACTGCAGAGCTTCTCCACCAATTAGAGAATTGTGACCAGTCATAGCATTAAGATGGCTTTAATAAGAGAACTATTGGGTTCTGATTAAAGTTGTAAGATGTTAATAAGTTTTTTTATAGGAACAATATTTTTAAACTTTGTTACAGAATATGCATTTATTACACTCACACAAACAAATGTTTTATTGTTCAGAGAGCATTGATTGATTTGATCATGTCATTCGTTGTGCTTCACGCTAGTGGGCAGGGCTAAATAACTTTTAGTGGGCAGGGTTAAATAACTTTTCGTTTTGTTTGTAGCAACTCTGATTGGTTTAATTGTTCTGTAGAGCATCATTGCAAATGTAGTCTTTTTTTTCCACAAGTTCAATTGTTTCAGAATGCATCTTACATTAATGCAAACGGATGGGCTCAACAAAAGATTAAAACAATCAAATAACAACCTAGGTGCTCATAACAGGTCTTTATTGGATTATACCACGTTCCCTGATTAAAAAGCCAGTTAGTACATTGTTGTTGTTTTATACCTTTTGGCTTCAAAGTTTATAATGTTAAAATTCTTCTCATCATAGCTGCTTGGTTTGATTCTTGGCTTGCTTTTTATTATTATTATTATTTTATTTTGCACTCCATTTTGCCAAGTAGCTCAGTAAAGTATGCACCCTGGAGGCATGATTATATGAATCTTTCATAGTTTTTCAACCACACCTGAAATTGACTGAGTCATCAAATCATTCTGACACAAACCCTCTGAATTACAGTGTTGAGAAGCAATATTCAGCCTTTTTATAGACTAGAAATCACACGTTGGCACATTATAAAGTGTTCCTGAGCTTCAGCAAACAGCCAACTTTGGCGGAGTTCAGCTAGCCATGTAAGGTATTCTGCCTGGATGAGGATTGAGATTGTTATTGTACAGAAATAAGAAAGGATTTATCTCAACCTTGAGACAAGAACAGACAAGAAAACCAGATCGAAATACCCAACAGTAATCCAAACAGGTTAATTGTAATCCACATTCTTAACAAATAAAAATATATTAGTCGACGTCGTCTTTACTAGTAATTAAATTAGACATTGTGGTGCTTTCCATTACATTGGAGTATTTATTTTTTTCTGTTTGTTTGGTTTGGGTTATTTTTTTCGATTCCCAGAGTGTACTTCTGTAATGATTGCACGATGTCCATCAGCTCTAGCAAGACGGAATTAGAAGAAAAAGCAGCTGAGCCTTCTGATTCTCTAGTTCTGGCTCTTTCTCTGTTTCTTGTTCACCCACATACATGATGAGAATTGTTATATTGAAGGTAAATTTCTGTATGGTTTGATTTGATAAGGATTGTTTTGTGGCTTGTACCTAGGAGACATTGTATTTTTATGTATATTGCTTTAAATTTTCAATTAGGAATGCCTTTTAAAGGGGCAGCATGCAAGTTTGACACCCTGTGGTTGAACTATGTATTGCATTTGTTTTAATCCAGGTATGCAAGTGCAAGTTGCCAGATTGAGAACCAACAGGAGCAAGTCTGGCGATCAGGCCTAAAGGCCGACTCAAAACCAACACATATCAGTGATTCAGCATGTACATTTAATAATGTTAAAGAGGTTTAATATGTATAGATTAGAGTATAAACCTTACCATTTCATGAGTGAGTTCATATTCTGTGCTTCTGAATGGCTGTATTTAAATTTCTGTTTTGTCTGCTGCAAACAGCCAAATTGCTTATTACTATATCATATAGCATGTTGCTATGACACGGGGTTACAATGTAACCTGCTCACCTAATGTTTACATTCGTAATATTTATACTATTTGCTAATTAATAACCACATGTGGAACTCTGAATCTGCGCCTCATTATAGAGTCTGCTACTGTCCACTGGAGGTCACATTTCGTTTTTTCTGAGCCTTTCTGAATGAATGAATGAATGAATGAATACAATGCGCTGTTTTCCATCAAGGCTACCCGAAGTGCTGAAATATAATTGGCTGAAGTCATATTGGGTGGGTTAAAAGAACCAAAACAAAGACAGCATTCCGGCATGTAACTCACATTTTCAAAGCAGATTAACTGACTTCAGCATTGTGTTTCAGATAAACAAGAATGTTCACTTAGTGTGTTTCTTAACTGTTTACAAACATATGATGGTATTTTTGTTCTTTAGGAGAGTCAAAAGCTTATGCACAGCATTGTTAAACGCGGGGTAATATAGAAGCTTATTTCTTACCATGGAATGAAGTAAAATATGAAAAAGTAAATTCAGTTGTGAGTTTATATCTCACAGTCTTTTTGACATTTCCCCCCTCAGCTCAGAGAATGGAGACTTTGAGTTCTGAGAAAAATGTAAAAAATCAAAACAATCGCTTCACAGCAAGAAGGTTGCTGATTCTAGACCCAGCTGGGTCAGTTGGTATTTCTGTGTGGAGTTTGTATGTTCTCCTGTGTTCGTGTGGGTTTCCTCCAGGTGCTCAGGTTTCCACCACAAGTCTAAAAACATGGGGTATGGGTGAATTGTATAAGCTAAGTTGTCAGTAGTGTATGTGTGTGAATGAGAGTGTATGGATGTTTCCGAGTGATGGGTTGCAGCTGGAAGGGCATCCATTGCGCAAACAAATGCTGGATTGGTTGGCAGTTCATTCTGCTGTGGCGACCCCAGTTTAATAAAGGGACTTAAGCCTGGTTTACACTTTTGTGTCAAGTGATCAGCGTGACCCTCAGCGCAAGCCTTGCACATTGCCGTGCATTGATACTTATGCAAGCCGACCAATCACAGAACTTGCGCTACACGTCGTTGCGACGTGTAGTGACATTTTTTTCAGAGCTGCGCATGAGGAACGGCCATGGCGAGGGCTATGCGTCCACACATAGGCTGCATCATAGCATATGTGTGCACTTGACGCAGAAGTATAAATCAGTGTAATTTGTGTCTAAACGCGGTGATTATTCATATTAACCCTCATTTGTGTAATAAACAAACGTGTTGAGTATCAAAAGACACCTGAAAGTGAAACCATAAACTAGAACCGCACTACTCTTAAAGTGACAGCGCGCAATATTCCTGTTGCCGACTGTTTTAATCACTATTAATTAAACAACAAAAGGACAGAATCACTTACTGCACTTCACTGAAGGACTTTTTTAGCTATAGTTAAAGCGGTTCATTCTGCTGTGACGGAATAAAAATTGTACATACTCATAAAATTAGCCACTAAAATAGTTACGTTTTCTCGTGAGATTGGCTTTAAAAGTGACAAAGTGTTAACATAATTAACAGAAACATGTTGCAGTTTGCTTCTTTATTGGGGAAAAATTCTCAGATGACTAAAAATTATAAGATCTATCTTTTTAATTCGAGAAATAAGATTTCAAAGAATAGCTACCAGAATTTAAGTGACATGTAAGTCTTTTAAAGGGCAGAAAAGTGACTTAAAATAAACTCTTCTAGTAGACTCAATAGTCAGGTTTGCATCCTAATGTAATTTTAATGTTGTTTAAAAAAGGAAAAATCCCACATGCGACTTAGGTGTGTTTCCAACAGGTTGTTAAAGCAGCTTACTGTAATACTGGTAACATAGCAACAACAGATTATCTGGCATTAAAAACCACCTCAATTGAATTCTATTCGAAATTTGGTGTTTTCATTGCTAATTTCTCACGTGATAATTTAAAATGCTTGTTAACAAAGTGTGATAGAAACCCAGCTACAGTAAGTTTGGTAAGTCTTGACTGAGGGCGCACCCACACTATGCTATCTGATCCATGCTGTTCAGTTAGCCGGCCCTGGCCCGATTGGAAGAGGTGTGCCACAGCACGGTTCACTTGGGCTTTGATGCGGTACGCATGTAGTGCAAAGTGTGCCATAGCCCGAAACTAAAGACGAGACGTGACTTATAAGG